ATTAATATGATATTCCAATTAAATTTATCGATGGTATACGGTGTACTATCACATTTACCACGCGACAGTCTTGTAAAGTACTTCAGTAAAAGTATTCAAATACCATTGAAATACTCAAACACGTTTTTAAATACTTTCTCAAAGTATTTTTATTTTAAATCAAATACTTTTTCTTTTTAGTTTATAATATGTCATCTATTTTCTATTTAATCAAGTACAATTTAATTCATTTTAAAACTGGATGTGCACTGTTATTTTAACAAAATTTTTTTTTATAATTTAATGATTTTTACTTAACCGTTTACATTTAACTCAAAAAATATACAATAATAAACTATTAATTAGCTAGCATTGTTGGTATCCAAATAATTTTAAAACATTTTTTTATTTTATTTTAATAATGCTTACTTGAAATTCAGTAAGTGAAGGACTTCAAGAATGAACATAAAAATTTTCTTGCTGACTCGAGTAATATACGTTTTAAATATTACTTTTGAGATTGAAACCAACAATAGTATTCTGCATTAAATCCACGATGGTAAAAACTTTATATCCACCCATATAATAGATATATATATAGAAACATAAACTGGGAGTATCTTAATAAAAAAAAATACACACAACTTAATCATTGCTGGTATTCATTGTATGTGAAAAACTAATATTTGTTAAGAAAACACTTTTTGATAATTTCAACTGTAGTTTGCAGTACAAATAAAACCCAGATAAGTATCTCTTTAAAATGTGTAATGAGTATAACGACTTCAGTATTATCATATTTTCTGAAATGCAACATGATTTTCACCAATAAAGTTCATTACTTTTATAATATATCAATTATATAATACCAATTAATTAATAGGTACATACTTACTCTCCTACAATATATTATTATCTATACAATAATTGGTAATAAATGGACATTTCATTTATTAGGTTTGTGATTAGTATAATATGTACGAATATAATTTTTAGACTTATATTGAGTGTCAAGAAAGTTTGCTATAGTATTATATTATTTTAACACATAAAACTATAAAAGTAAATATAACAGAAAACTAGTGCTAGTATCGGTATTTAATTATACCTGACCATTGATTAAGTGGTTATTATTCGTACATTTTGCCTGCTAGCAGCTGACTTACATAATATAACATACTATATAAATATATAATGTTATATTATAACAGCACTAGTTAATAATTTATGTTTGTATATATAGATATAGAAAAATAAACTAAAAGGTGGGTATTTAAATAGACAATTGTATCCTGCCATTGGATAAATATAAAGATTTTTTGATGAAATATTCAACTTTAAGTTTGTAAAGTATTGAAAAATAATTAACACATCTTAAATTTAATATTGAATGGTGAGAGGTAAAATGTATGGTTACTTGAACAAACAACTGACTACTGAGTATATTGTAATAATATTAGTTTTTGTAGGGAATGATATATATCCATGATGCAACGGACTACGTATAGTTTAAAAGGGTCGGTAAAATAATACCGTAGTTAAAGGGGTCGAAAATATTATTATTATTATATTTTATTTTTTATGAAACCAAACATCTTACACGACGACATATTACACTTTCCACCTTATTCTCTATCCTACAGTTTACCTGGTACAGAATGACGGAAATCTCTTAAGAGATTCAGCTGATAGTGTCCCCAATTTTGGTTAAAAAAGAAACACAATAGCAAGAATATATAGACTGTCATAACCTTCTCCATTCAACCCAGAAAGCATATTAAGATTCCAAAAATAGTGTGTTGTATATTATCTAACAATTTGCTTTACTACTTTTTTTTTTTTTTTACAAAATTTACTTTCACAATTTTGATGAGGATATTGAAAATAATAGGTACATGTTATTTATATATACATTATTGTTCAGCGTGTGAGCTACGTCTAGGCTCTAGTACATAAGTTAATATTTGGATACTAAAAGTCTAAAACTAAGTTATTATTTTTGTTTCGACGATTAATATATTTAATTCATTATACCTACATCCTACGTACCTATATACAATGAAAATTGAAAACAATTATCTTTACAATATGCAGTTTTAAAACAGTTTTTTGTCCCCTAATGTAGTTTCAATAGCGCTCGTGAATTATTACTTATTTTATGCAAATTACTTCATATTTCATTAAACAATAAAAATTAATATTTACCTGTTAGTATTATTTATTGTTTCATTTTCTCATAACTATAAACATATTCATGAAAAATTCATATCAGTAAATAAATAAAATAAATAAATAATTATTCATATGGAAACAAAAATTAATTAATAGAATGTTGGAATGTTGAATGTGTACCTATTTTAATTAAAATTCATAATAGGTGCATAAATGTTTACATTTCTATAAAAAGAATACTTATCAAAATTATGAATAATATGTTAGAATAAACATGTGAATACGGTGTAGTGAAAATTATATTAATAGTATGAAGTTTTCAAATTACTCTTAATGTACTTCAATAATCATATAATATTAACACTGAATATGAAATACCTTTATTATGAACTAAATAAATAATCTTAATTTATTTATTAACATATAGATATATAAATGTATATTAAACTATTATGAATGCTTAAAAGTAAATACAGTGTTGGTTGATTGAAAACACTCCAATAGAAAAATTATTTTAATTCGTATAGGTGTAGGTTTCATGGTACATCAGATAAGAAAAATTTTAAAAATAACTGCATAATTATATAATTTATTATATATATATTTTATAAACACATAACTTATCTAAATCGAATTATTTAGTTTACTTATGCAAAACCAAAAATAATAATATTGGCTACTTTAATTTAGAAATCCTTAGGGTAGGTATATATTATGTAAATTCTGAGCAAAGTGGAGAATTTGTTGCTTTTAAAACCATATAATACGTATTAGTAATTTATCACTTATACGGGTAGAAGGTAGGTATACGCTTTAAAAGTTGCATCGCTACTAGTCTTTTAAATAATTTAATTTTAGAATTTTCTAGTAGCTTTTCTAAATCATGATAAAAACGTCCAGCACTGAAAGTGTAACTGAGTTTATATGCACATTTGTTGGAAAATCGGACCATTCGGACCTTATTCCTGAAGAGTATGAGTATACTTATTTATAAATAGTAAATAAATAAAATTTATAGTTGATAATTTTAAGTTTTTTTATATTTATCTTAAGCATTGGCAACTATTGCCTTTTAGAATTTTGTAGGGGAATACGATTGGTTGAGGAACACGTGTAGTATGTGGGGCAAGGATTTGACCTCAGAAAATGTTAGTAAACAACCAATGATGAGGCCAACTACCAAGGCACAGCAGACCTAAGTTTGCCTATACTCTATAATATGTTTTATATTATAATTCAATGTAAAATTAAATATATCTTAGGAACCTATCATTAAATATTTTCAAGCCACTATTTCAACTACCTAATTGGAACAAATCGAACTAATTTTATAAATTCTGAAACTATTATTATTTTATGAGGATGTAAAGGTTTATTATAGAATGAACGAGATATAATCATTAAACCATTTGGACATTGCAGGATTACGATTAAAATTGATATTTATAGCTTTACCAACTATTGAATAAATAATTGATTTTCTACATCCATTTTCAATAATGTTAAACCGTTTCGAACAAACGGATTTTGTATGTTAATTTATTAAACAATTAAACGTTAAAAATACAGCTGTTTACTGACTGTAGTTCGTAATTATAATAAAACCAATAGGTACAATTGAACCACTGTAGTCAATTTTTTTTTTTAACATATTGTGATTTGTAAATGTACCTATACCTATTCAATCTGTTATAACTCGAACAATAAAAGCAGGTCTAGTATTAGAGTATGATTACATAAAAAAGCAAACAGATTGAAGAGTCTTTCAACTATGTCAAGAATTAGTTGTATAATAAAATAAATATAATAATATTATAATCGGGGTGTTATATTATATTCTCTCCTGGCCTTTTATTTTCATTTTATCTATTTAGATTATTGTATTACTGTTAAGACAAATTGTAGAAAAATAAATAATAAAATAATAATATAATATGCATAAAAAATTAAACTATAAATATCTAGTAAATAAGATAATATAAAGTTGATTTATGTATGAATAATGATCACCTAATAATATTTTTAGGTAGCATAGAACTAATGTGTACTGAAATACGTGCAGGTATCTTAGAACCAATATATTTTAAAATCCCGATAAAATATACAAACAGCCACTATTTTGTGACAACCTAGCCCACATCTTGATTAAAATTTATAATATTGTAATAAAATATAAAAATATACCTAGATACTTACCTACTCATAAATTTAAAGTTAATTTAAATGTAACAACGATACATTCGTTATCGCACTAGTTAATGTTTTAAATGATACATAGAAACATAATATAGAGCTTGTTATGAATGTTTATGAAACAGAAAATATCACTAAATATTAGGTACCTACCTATAATTTATAATATGTTTATGTTTTTAAATAATATATCCATTATAGTCAAGTATTTTTATGTACCAAACATTACATTTTTTCTCCCAAAAAGCAATAATTTTTTTTTTTTTTCATAAGCTGTTCGTTAATAATATTGGGTAGTGGGTACCTTTCAAATGTTTCAACAAGGAAAACCTTAATTGTTTTACATGATTTTTAAACGCCGTTTCTAGGTCACGCGGCCAAATTTATCCGCTTGAAATTTATTCTGTTATACAGCAGGTACAAAACACAATATTTGACATATAATAATAATATTATTGATATTATAATATATTCGGTATGCACTGTCGCGGATTATCAAAATCGTATACACAATAGGCACGCAATAAACTGAGAGATATTAAATTTACATATTATTACGGATTTCGATTATCTCACACGTTGCACATAATATTATAATAAATATCGCGATGTTATTAAATGGAAATTATCATTATTATTATATTATTGTGTGACAGGTATGTTTGTTGGACGGCTTACCTGCTGCGTTACCACGGTAAAACGGGCCACGTGGAACCGGTGCCATTACCAGGTGCACCATTCAGCCACTACTACGCCACTGACGCCACTGACGAAGGGATTATAATGGAAACCGACATAAGCGTCAAAGAGGTAAGTACGTGCCAATGTTTTCCCCCGCGAAATTAAACGTTTCCCGGCGGCATTACACCCGTTATAATAATATGTGTACGGAAGTGATCGTAAATCAATAACAACTACATTATAATATATTATGCGAGTCGGTGGTCCCACAAGTATGATTTATCATTTTGGTTTTGGGGTTTTTTTTTCCTTTTTACTCATTACGAACAACGGTGTTTGTATACCGTTAAAAAATAATAACAAGATTTGTAAAACAATATAAAACAAAAATACGTTTTGTAAACACGCAAAAGCCGCGCATCGTTATACCTTGTAACACCGTGAAATATGATAGTTTGTCTTAACTTAACTAATGAAAACAAATCACGTCATTTTGAAAAATTTTGTTATCCTAAGGCAAGAGCCATAATATTGTATAATTAGAAATGAATTTTCATTTGTGACAAAAAAAAAAAGTCTTATAGGTATACAGAATAAATTATATTTATTTAGAAGAAGGATGTATGTTTGCTATTAGATCTCAAAATATTATTTCTATCATACCTGGTTAGGTAACCAATTATAAAAAAGGTGGGAGAGTGGCTACCGATCTACAGCTCTGCCGTACTTATTGCAGATGTCGATTGGGTCACTGTAATGGTTATATTAAATTTGAATTCAATGATATAAAATTGTAAAATATCATTGTACATCTATCAAAAAAAAAAAGGATTCAGGGCGAATATGGTCAGCATATATAATATATTTTCAATTTTGGGATAATATTGTTTCTATGAAAGTAATTTATCTTGCTATTAATTATTTATTATTCAGTGGGTTTAATTATAGTAATTACCGAAAATATTGAATTTGAAAATGTCATTGTGTGTGTAAAATACAATAATATACTTTAAATGTTTCAAATACCTACGAATAATATTTTTAAATTATAACAAAATATGTAAAATTGTTATACTCTGTTAAAATATAGTCCTAATTTAGTCCTAATTCAAAATTAAAATGTCTTTTATGTCTCTATTAATAGTTTTAAAAATAATTCATTTAAATTCTACCACATATACATAATATGATATTGCGATTTGCGTTAAGAATCATAGATAGATGGAGAAATCAACTCGACAATACGTCTTGTTATCAACAGAATATAGCTACCCGGGCACTACCTAATTTTTACAAAATATCTTTATAACAATGCACAAAAGAAATTTGTTCTTTAATAAAATGTATATCACATCTGACTTAAAATTCTGTTGGCCGTCGCCTTTCGAATATTGCAGGATCAGCCTATATGCATCCTATAGAATATCACCATACACACTATGGGCGCCACTGACTTGGTTTGTTGTAATATTAAACAATTATTTTTATTTATTAATTTTATTATTAGATAGTAATTACTAATTTGATATATTATATAGGTAGTAGTAGTAGTAGTAGTAGTAGTAATACCGCGACCCTCACACACAACGGAAATAAGTCTATTGAAAAATTAATATAATATTAGTACCAATATCGTAAGATGACAAGATGTAACAATTTACAATAATAATAGTAGTTAGGTATTTGGTGAATAAAAATTAAAAAGTGACGTAATAATGTAATGTATATATAAACAAAACCAAATGTAAATAGAAAAAATTATAGGCAGTATATAGGTTAATAACATTAAGAAAAGTGTATCAATGTAAAGTTATTACACACATTATAGGTCCTCTAACATTTATACATTAATTTAAAAAAAACTATCATTTTCGTCGTGTGCGCTAAAAAACAAAAAACAAAATTCATTTTGGGGCGACATTTTCTGACCGACGCTGCAACAGCAAAAGTGCCCGGCGGGCTCGTCCTAAGACCAATGGGAGGGCCACGTTTACCAAATCAGTGTGATCCATTCGGCGGATGACGTCGTTTAACGGATCCTCCGGCCGCGACTCCTGCAAAACTGCTCGGCTGTCATCGACGCCGTCAAGTTCTTGCGGTTTGTACACCAGGAGCTGCATCTGTTGTTCCTCACCATCCGGCCGGTTCTGCTGACGGTCTCCATCACCACCGTCAACGTCGTCGTCCGAAATCGGCCGTGAGGATAGGAACGGCGAAAACAGTTTGGCGATCAGACCGCGGACCGCTCCGAAAGCAAGCCGGGAAGGTTCGGGCGAATCACTTGGATCCGAGTCCGGAAGTGGAACGCTAGGGCCACTGTCGCCTTTTCCCTGGTCGCTCGGCTGCATTTCTCGTTGCAATCTTAGTAACATATCGTTCAGTCGACCGTTTTCAAGCCTTTGCGCGTTCAGTTCACGACGCAATTGTAACTGCTGCAGTTCACCGTCGCCCCGACCATCACTGAGGTCGACCACGACTGAGTTTTCTTCGCCAAATTGCACTTGCGCGTCGGCCACGGACGGCGGCTTCGGACGATTTGCCGGATCCGTGGCCACATCCATGCCACCACTGAAACGCCGCCTGGGTAGCATACTCCGCCGCCTTTTAAACGAACCATTGTCGATACTTGAGGACCCCTTACGTCTAGCGGTGGTAACGATCGTCTTCGTCGTGATAACGCCATCGCCGTTCGATTCGTCTGCCTCATCCTCCGCGGCCACAGACTCCGTTGATGAGGACGTCGTCATAGTGACGGTAACAGAATCGCCATCGCCCTTGGTTGGAGGATGTGGTTGTCGGTGATGCGGTTGACAGTACCTCCGCGATCTCATCGACGACGCCACCGGAGCGCTAATGGCAGCTAACCGCACTGGCTCTTCGTCGGTCCAGTCCGCGGTCTCCTTTTCTGACGACGAAGTACAGTTGATATCTGCAAAGTCTTCTAGGCGGTTATAGTCATAATCGTCGTCATCTTCTTCGGAGCAGCTAAAGAAAAGGTCCACTTCCGAGTAGTCCGGCAACACTGGCGGCGATAACGCTGCTGCAGTCTGCGAATCTGTGCAGGTGGCTTCTGGTGCTTTTGCGGCTGACTGTATCACCAGGATTATTTTGGTCGACGTCACAGCTTCCAAACAAAACTCCTGCAGACGATGTCGCTGAGGCGGAACTGCAATTTCAGCTGCCAAGAGCTGCTCTGTCGGTCTCCTGTCCCTCGGGTCGCCCGCGTAGGCAACCTGCGTCATGAACAGTTTCTGCTTGCCAAAATACTTCTGGTGCTGGGCCCACAGTTCCGTTTTCATCAACTGTTGCACTGACCGGATTGGTCTGAACTGTCCTCGCAGACGTGCTACGGCGTGTTCTTCATTGCTCATGGTTTGGAGTGGTGTGGACGGTGGTGGCCATGGTGACGATAACGTCTCGGACTCCATTGAGGATGCGTCATAAAATTCATCGTCATTGTCATCGTCATGGTCTTCGTCTTCGTTTGTCTTTTCTTTGTTCTATATGAACAAAAAAATAAATGTTTAACAGTTTTAAAAATTATAATACGACAAAACGATAGTATACATACGGAATCTTAATAATATTATTGTTTTTACCGGGCCGTCTACGGCGTATTCTTCAATGTGACTTCGAAGTTCCCGCCAGCGTCGTTTGTTGACGGCGGAGACGGACACCGATTCGTCCGACACAGTCGCCGCCATCAATGCCAGTAATCGCCGGTTAAGGGTCAACAATTCGTGGATGGTGCGCACGGCCGCTTCGGCGGTCACCTTCGTCATGCGTTGCTGTTCGAGCTTTCCAAACTTCCGGTTCCGGGCCAACGGTTCCGTTTTCACAAGCTGCTGCACTGGCAGCTCCGGTCTGCACTGCCGTCGCAGAGAGGTCACCTCGGATCCGTCATCCTCGTCTTCTTCAATCACGGTTTCGAGCTGTGTCACCAATTTGGCCGACACTGTGGCCTCCATTAATGCCATCAATCGCCGGTTAAGGTCGTGGATGGTGCGCACGGCCGCTTTGGCTGTCGCCTTCGCCGCCGCGTTATTCTGGCCGGCACCGCTCTCGGCATGGCCACTACTAGCGTCGGAGTCCGCGCTGTCACTATCGGCACTGTCGCTGTCAGTATCGGTATTTTCGCTGTCAGTATCGGTACTTTCGCTGCCAGTATCGATACCGTTACTTGTCTTTCGGTCCCGACCGAGTGCGGCCGCTGACAGCAGCCTGTCCAACCGCTGTTGAGTGTTGTAAACGCCCAACAGGAGCTGAAAGTTCTGGTTCCACAGCAGTTCCAACTCTTGGATAAGCTGAGTCTGGCTGTTAACCGTACGGTGTTCTTTACCGCGACCACGGTTATAACCTAACAATTATTAATTACGATTATAATATTATAAGTACCCTGTTATAGTATATTAATAGACGTCAAAACAATACCACATATGAATCGAATTGGACGTATAGTTTTTTTAACTATAACACAGACTTAAATTGTATATATAAAAATAATAGTTTAAGCGGACGCTACACACGTTTGTTTTCACCGTCATACAAATACGTATCTTAGCAAATTTTACCTCAGCAGATCACGTACAGACTTCAGTAATTTAAACATTTAGACTGAATCGACATCTATTATGAAACTTAATGATAAAAACATTATTTGTGTTTGTATGTGGGTTTCTTACGATAGTTCAATTTTCTAGCGAGTGTCGTTTATATAACATACTTAGCCCAAGTTAAAAATGTTGAAACTCACTTAAAAACCGAATTATCGTAAAATAACCTGCATGCAAACACAGATTATTCTTAGCATTAAGTTTCATAACAGGTCAATATTCACTCTAACTAACTTTATATTTGACTTAAATATACAATTTCATAAATTTAAATGGTTATTATTTATTAAATTGTTTTGTGCAATATTTAGACAAATCGATTTGCCATACCTTCAAAAATATTGTTTTCTTTAACTTTTGTAATGGGTGATTTTAGTCTCTCAAAAACATGATTTTGTGTATATATTGTGCATGGGCCAGAAAGAGGAAACAAACAGTGCACTGGTATCAACTAGTATACTAATGTAGATATGTACCAAAACATGCCGAATGCATATTATTAGTTTTTTGTTTTCTATAATTGTTGGCTTAAAGTTACAAAAAAATATCCAA